TATATATTACCAATTTTGAAAAATAAGTGTTGGCATTAAGCATAAACTTTAACTGGAAATGCACCTCTTAAGGGCATGGACAGACTGGGTTCTTCCAATTAGCTCAGGTTTATGTATATAAATTAATTACTGCACAAATGACACAACACTCAGTATCAATTCTATTCTTTTTTTTTTTTTTGGTGGTCAGCGCCTGTTGAATTTATTGCATCATTATGAACAGCAAAATCTTGTCTCCTTTTGATCACATATCCTAAAGGTTGTAAAGAAATATAATTTAAATAGTTCCAATTTGAGAATATGTATTAAAAAATTTTAAGGGTCACCTTGGTATTTTTTAAAGATTAAATGTGATACCCTAGAAGGCATTTCCATGTCATAAATTCATTCTACCACAGTTTATATGTAAAAATGCTGCACAATGTTCTAATTTTGTGTCTGCAGTTGTGTTGCAACTATAGGACAGACACAGAATGATCTACACTGGCTGGAATCTAAGTATTAATTCCCAGTGATCAGAGCAGTCCAGCCTGGTGCTGCCACATAAGGTATCATTATCAGATGACACCAAGGACCAGCTACAACTTATGACTGACCTTCTTGTTCAGTCCACAATTGTGACCATATATTACCACACATTTAACAATACAAATTCATACCATTTGTTTCAGGAATATTTGAGAAAGGAATAAGCAATTATTCTATTTTGTGTCCTTTCCATGTTTTAAAATGAGCAATGTTCTATACTTCTATTATCTAAGATTTAGAAGCAAAAATATTATAAAAAATATATATCCTTGTAAAATCTAGTATTTCTTTTTTTTTTTCTTTTTTTGAAACAAAGTCTTGCTTTGTTGCCTGGGCTAGAGTGATGTGACAAATTCCCAGACTCACGCAATCCTCCTGCTTCAGCCTCCCGAGTAGCTGGGACTATAGGCACCCACAACCATGACTGGCTAATTTTTCTATTTTTAGTAGAGATGGGGTCTTGTTCTTGCTCAGGCTGATCTCAAACTCCTGAGTTAAACCAATCCTCCTGCCTCGGCCTCCCAGAGTGCCAGGATTACAGGTGTGAGCCACCACACCTGGCCTATTGTCAACCTTTCTGAATCACATTGTTGTAGCTATGTCTCTTTAAAACAACAGAGTTTTTTGCTTTGTAATCAAATCTGTAAGTTTTAAAAAACATTTTAATAGGCGAGTTTAGCACATCTGTAGTTATTGATATAACAGATATGTTTATTTTTAATCGTATTATTTTATGGTTTTTATAGCTTTTGGAAAATGACTATATTGTATATTTTCTTTTCCTTTTTTCTATGTTTTTCTTGTCATAATTAGGAGAGTTTATATTTCTGTTTTAGTGTTTATCTTTATCTCTATATTTATAATTCCTTTATTTCTTTAGCAGTATCTATTAATTTATCACTATGAAAATGATAAAATTAGTTTTTCCTTTTCTTACTTTTACTTTCCCTCTTCTATAGCACTCAATTTATAAATTATAGTTATTATATTATCTTTCTTGGAATTTACCTTTATTCTGTTTAATATATTATATTTCTATTATTTGTTACCTTGAAGTGATTCCATTTGAATGTCAGCTAGTAAGAATGAGGAAATAGGTGTTATAGCTAAATTAGAGAACTAGTATCTCATTGTAGATAATATATGATTTAAATAACTTCTTTATTATCATGAAAAAGTAAAATAATTGAGAAGATTTTCATAGTAAGGGCATTCTTTTGAAACCCTGTTTTGAGGGGAAATGAGTCATTTTGGTTGGAATTATTAAGGGCACAGTAGATATAAAAGGAATTCTAATATTAATTATAAATCCTCTGTCATGATTCCTTATAAAACATTTAGAATTATTTGATTGTACTCAAAAATTAAATATGAGAGGATATATTGAGGTGTTCATCCAGGGCAAGATTTCCCACATGTTTTCTTTCTGGATTTATATTTTGAGCTGCCTTAGCAGATAATGTCAGATATTTATATAGGTCAGTGACAATGGATTTAAGGTCACGTTTTTCCTTAAGCAAAGATTGGATTGTTCTATACATAAGGTAACAGCATTGTTCCAGCAATTTTCTTGAGCTTTTAACTAGGATTGTTCTGTTGGAAGGAAATTTTGGCTTGCATTTTTTCCTGAGTAACCA